CAGCAAGGAGGCAGAGCCTTGCCTGGTGCCGCAGGGGTGGTGCCCTCACGGATCAGCCTGGGCTCACATGGAGCAAAAGCCCAGTGTGAGGCTCCTTCTGGTGTTGCTGCAGCGATTTTTGACTGGAGCTGCTCCCAGAGGGGAATTGTCCCTGCCTGGAGCAGCTCAAGCTGAGTTCTCTGCAGGCTGTCTGCAGTGCCTGCAGCAGGGCTGGGCTGTGTTCTGCCAGTCTCTGCCTCTCCAAAGCCGAGGGGCTCCGTGTCCAGGTGGAGCAGGGATGGAATGTCCAGGCCTGGCTGTGGAGCAGCCCTGCAGGGGGATCCCGTGCTGTCACATGCAGCAGCCAGGACATCTCAGACACAGCCAGCCCTCTGTGTGAAACTGTTCCAGCTGATGAAAATGCTCTAAGATGTGTTTTTGCCTGGAGAAATCGGGAGAGTGTGTATTTACTTGTATTATAAAATGTTCATTTTAAACATACATGCTCCAGACTGTTTAATATTTTTTATCCCTGCAGCAACTGTCATGGCAAACAACTTCCACAACTGGAAAAGAACCCTTAGCACTTGTTTTTATGGTTCACATTTGCCAAATAAGTCTCATAACTTTGTCAGTGCTGTCCAATTATCTGTTTCTTTATATCTGCAGTGAATATCTTATGCATTTGTGCCAAAATATTAGAGGGGGAGGGGAGAAAGTGATAATCAGTTTCCTATGGAAATCTTTTTTTTTTCCTTGTTTTTTATCTACGAAAGACAAGCTGGATGTGGCTGTGGGAAGGACGGACTGGGATGGACTTGAGGACGGTTTTGATAAAGCTTTAGTCCTGCAAACTTCTGTGGGAATGCCCTGATCCACTGGGGGAACTGACTGGATCAAACAGCCACCAGGAATTCCCGTGCTGCTCCTTCCTCCGAGACTGTGCCAGCCTCTCCTGCCCTGCCAGACCCCAGCACTCCTGGAGCTGAGGGGACCCAGCGCCCCAAACAGACCCCAGAGCCGCTGCTGCTGCTTGGCTGCAGATGAAGGGACGGTTTGGGGAGCTGCAGAAAGAAGGAATTGCTTGTTCAAACGTCTGCAATGCAGGGAGGACTCTCAGTGGTGGACGTGCTCCTGGTGACGCAGGACTTTGGGATATCCTCTGGACTGGAGCTGCTCTGTGCAGCACAGCAAAGCAGCACTGGAGGCTTTTGGGTGTTTGATTTGTTAAGTTTTGCCATGGGTCTGATCTGAGTTGCACCTCTGCCTGCACAGACTGGGGCAAAAGAGATCTGTATAAAAGAGGATTTTTGGGGCCATTTACAAAGCAGGTCTGTTGTCACCGTGGGTTGGTTCAGCATTGGTTCAGATACATGGCTGCAAAGAAAATATTACCCTGAATTTTGTAGAAATGTTTGACTTTTGGCTGTTTAAATGAGAAAGGGGAAATGCGCTCTGTAAAATGGCCCCAGGTTTCCTCCATGAGTGTCTTATTTGCTTATTTTGGTGGCACATGTTGTTGTTGTTGTCCTCATAATCACAGAGGAATTGGAACTCTGGTGCCTCCTGCATTAACCACAGAAATGACACCTGAAATCCACAGGTGATGGTGTGAGCAGGAGCCCAGCCTGATCCAGAGGCCACGAGTGGGAATAAATCCCAACTTTAATATGAAGTTTGCACACGGAGTCACCTCCTCAGCCAGCCTGGATTTCCGCTGGGAACCCGAGCTACAGCCCCTTGCTAAAGGATCATTAATTGCTGACCATTATTAATTGAGGCCTTTTGAAACCCAGCATTCAGATGATGCATAAAAACTTTGGTTAATCTCCCATCATCATCCCTTAAGTGACTTCCAGTGGAAAATGTGAGCTGGCCCAGCAGTGCAGTGAGATAAAGGGGAGATTATCTCCACTCCAGCATTAATTTCCTCTCTCCCTTTGTTTGCTGCTCCCTGATTCATGGAAGCTCTGGGGGTTCTGGAGTCACCTCGGGGAGCCCAGCAGAGCCTGGGGCCCTGGGCAGGGATGGGGCTGAGCCCAGGGCTGTTCTGCCCACGGTGCCCTGCATGGCACAGCTGCAGTGGAGGTGAATTCCCATTCCTGTGGCCACCACGGCCCGGGAGCAGGGATGAGCTGGGATTGCTGGAGGCAGCAGGGCCCTAAGGGAGGCTTGGTTTGATTTCTCCTAGAACTTGATTAAAGCAGCTCACAGGGATGGGAGCAGCCTGCCCTGGCTCAGAGTGCAGCTCCAGGCTGGAATATCCTCTCCTTTCGTGGCAGGCTGGGCTCGTTTCTCCAGGATTTCACCCGGTTTTGTTCCTCCAGGGTCAGCAGCAGAGCTTTGACTCTTCCCTCGGTGTGGCTGCTGGCAGAGGACACCCAGGGCCCTGTGCTTTCCCAGGCTGTGCTGATCTGTGCATTGTTCATGTATTGAATTGCAGGTTGTATTTTGTGTTAAGCTTGTCTTAGGAGTAATCCGGTGCTGTCCATTTGACTTAATCTCCAGCAATCAGTGTGCATATGCACAAAGATGGAGCAATCCCATCGGAAGGCATTTCCCTGGAGCTCTGGCTGCCCCTGTGTGCCAGGAAAAGGCTGAGGGAGCCCCGAGTTCCTCACAGGTTCCTCCGCGTTGGATCAGCGTGGTTGAACCCTGCAGGATCCTCTGCAGGTGAAGGATGTTCAGGCCCCATCTCCCAGCAGCCAGCGGTGACCCCTGTGCCTTGAGCTGTTCCCGGCTGGAAAAGCAGGAAGAACCCAGCCCAGGGAAGGACTTCAGCCACGTCCACGGCACCCAGAGCTCTGCTGGCTCTCTGAGGGGCAGGAGGATGGGAGGCTGTGCTAAGCTGGATGAGAACCAGGTCCTCTCCAGTGGTGGCCTGGGCGGTGTGCTTGAGAAGTTAATGGTTTGTACTATGTACCTGCTTTTGTATTTATGTGTCTTTCTCAACTATTCAGATGAATCCAGTATTTAATTTTTAGCAGAAGGGGCAGTTAAGGACTCGAGAGTATTAAATCTTCCATCTGCTCCTTGCTGATGCTGGCTGGAAATGAGGAGTTTGTGATGTGAGAACAGAGCTGAGCACAAAGTCCCCTGAGCCCTCGGGAGCTGCGGTGCTGCTGCTGCACCGAGTCAGGGCCCCAGCCGGGCCCTGGGTGATCCTCGGGGCTTGATGGGGCTTTAAAAACCAAACCCTGGTTCTCCAGAGCTGCTTGGGCCATCCCCTGCCCCTTCTAGAGCTGGCTGGGTCATCCCCTGCCCCTCCAGCCCGGCCGTGTTCCCCGTGCCGGGCCCGCAGCTCTGTCCCCGCTGGGTCCCCGGGAGCTGTGCCAGTCCCTCCTGTGCCACCTCTGCCTTCCCCTGCAGCCTCACTGCCTTTGTTACTCGAGGCCTGGCCCTTTCCGTGTGGAACTGTAAAGTCTGTTTGACATTTTAATAAACTTTGATTTGAAAACTGAGGCTCGTGAGCAGATCAGGCTGTCGGAGGAGTGTGTTTAAGGACACAGATGGACACTGGGGAGCTGCCGTGACAGTAACTGGGACACAGCAGCACCCTTGGCTTTGTGCAGTGAAGGTCCTGCCCAGTAAAGCACACACGAGCTCAGTGACAGGTAAGACCCTGACCCTGTTCTTTTTACAGCTGGGACAGTTTTGTTCAAGGATTTAAAGCCAAATTAAAATTGCATTTAGTTCTTTTAACTAATGGGACTTAGGGGTGAGTAGAAGTGGAGCTCTGTGCTCCAAGGATTTACTGTCCAATTGCTGGAGGAGTCAGACACAGCTGAGCATTCACAGGTTCAGAGTGCCACTGGAATTCCACTGTAGGGAACTGGGGAGCTGTTACCGGCTCAGGGACTGGGGAGCTGTTACCGGCTCAGGGACTGGGGAGCTGTTACCAGCTCGGGATTGGGGAGCTGTTACCGGCTCAGGGGATTGGGGAGCTGTTACCAGCTCAGGGGATTGGGGAGCTGTTACAGGTTTGGGATTGGGGAGCTGTTACCGGTTCAGGGACTGGGGTGCTGTTACCAGCTCAGGGGACTGGGGAGCTGTTACCAGCTCAGGAGATTGGGGAGCTGTTACTGTCTCAGGGATTGGGAAACTGTTACCGGTTTGGGATTGGGGAACTGTTACCAGCTCAGGGATTGGGGAGCTGTTAGTAGCTCAGGGAATTGAGCTGCTAGCAGCTCGGGAGAGCAGGAGCTGCAGAGGAGCATTCCCTGCTCAGCCTGCAGTGTCCTGCCATGAGCAGGCCCCGAGTTCCTGCCGTGTCTCCACGGAGGAGCCGCAGGCACGAGCCCAGCGGTAAATCCTGGAGAAAACCCTTAAGGAGCAGATCGCTCCTTCCCTCCCTGATGAGCCTGACTGTGCTCCCGGTGGGAAGGTGTTCCTGATTGCCACTGCCCGGGGGCAGAATTCCGGCCCCCTGGATGAGGGCGGGCAGGGCAGGGCAGGGCCGGTGCCAGCCCCGGGCACAGCGCGGTCCGTGCTGCGAACTCCTCACGGCCCCCGAGGGTTCCGCTGCAATTCTCCGCTTTCGGGCCGCTTTTCCTGACAGGATTTACGAGAACGCTTTTTCCACTCGGGTTTCCAGCCATGCGGTAACGAAGGGCCTGCTCCAGGCTCTGTGCCCGGCAGTGACTCGGTGCGGAGCGGGGGCTCTGCTGGCTGTCGCCTGCCTTCAGTGCCCGGTCCCCGCTGAAAACGGCAACTGCAGGAATTAAAAACCTCGAAGCCTCAGCCAAAATAAAGAGTGAACTGCCACGGCCAGAGCGGGGTCGGGGGCAGGGAAGCCTTTGCCATGGCCGGAGCTGGAAATGGCAGCCCAGCACTGGGAATGCTGCAGCAGCAGCAGCCCCGGACTGGGACACGGATGGCAATGCTGGACTGTCCCTGCCCCTGGCAGGGTGGCACTGGGGCTGCAAGGGCACTTCCCACCCAAACCACTCTGGGATTCCGTGGGAACCAACTGGGAATTCTTCTGTTCTTGCTGCACAAAGAAGCTGAGTGATAGACACAACTTTGCTTTTCCGCTAATGCCCCTTTTATTCATTCTGTCACTTCTTATTTTGTAAAGAAATCCTGTAGCCAAAACCAAAGGGTCTCTTCAGAAAAACCCCAAACAATCCACAAAAAACCTAACCACCAACAAAATAAACCTTGATTTTAAACCACAACACAACGACCTCCAAGGATCATTAAATTATTTCCCAGTGTCTCCAGCCACACTTCCTGCTTCCATGATTTGTGCCCCTACAGAGAAGACCCATATTTACAATAAATCATGTTTAAAAGAGTTTTGAGCATGGGAATGAGCTGCTGCTACCTCATAAAAAGGCAGCAAAGTGCCGGGTTTTAACTGATAAGATCTCATTAAATTTAAAAAGTCACATCTCTATCACAAGTCTAAAGAACGGGTTTATAAAGTGCCCAAGTCGATTTTTCCTTCACTGCCTCCATTCTATTCCCTTGGCACTTTGGCCATTTATCACCATTGCACAACCAAGATTTGGAAAGGGCAGAAAGAATCTTCAGCTACCGAGAAGCCAACATGGAAACCATTCCCTGCTTGGAACGAGCCACCTCCAGGTCTGAGGCACTCTCTGTGCTGGGAAAAAGAGGTAGAGAACGGGAGAAGTGCAGTCCCAGCAAGGCCCAGCAGCTGCTTGGGAAGGTGTCCCTGGCAGGTGCTCCCTTGGGTGTCTCTGCATTCCAGAATTCTTCCCAAACCAGGTGTTTCACCATGGGAGCTCCTGCTCAGGCTCCAGCTGAGAAACACTTCCCACACTGCTCATGAGGCTGCAGTTCTTGTCCTCAAACACTGCAGTTTTGACCGAGGAAATGACTCCCAGCATTCCAAGAAACGGATGATTTACATTCACCTTTGCTTCATCATTAAAAAGGGAGCACTGTGAAAGTGCCTGCAGAACTTAAAGCCATCCAATAATCGATGGCAAACCCGTGCCCTGGGACTCGGCAATTTAGGGGACATTGGAAAAGTTAATTTTGGAATTCCTAACTGAGGGTGCTTAACAGGGTGGATTTTCAGATAAAAGGAAAAGTTCCTGGGGCCAGATTCTTCCACGTGGGAATCTGTTGGATCTCTTCCCACGGATCCACTGCCTGTGCCTGCGGCAGAGAAGCCAGGGCGGCATCACCAGGCTCCACCTTCCTTCCCTGTCCCTCACTGCAGAGGCTCTGCCCCGAGCCAGGACCAGGAATTCCTTCTGGGACCAGGAATTCCTTCTGGGACCAGGAATTCCTTCTGAGCCCTGTGCCCGAGGCACACACAGGAGTTTGGGCTCCGAGCACGGCCGGGGAACTGAGGGCAGAACTGAGGACAGAGCTGCCCAGAACAGCTCCCTGCATTCTGCCAGGCCTTGCACAAGGTCTGGGCAGGGAATTCCACCCTGGAGCAGCAGCAGCAATCTGGCATTTCACTGGGAATCCAGGGAGTGTGGACAACACCTGGCACTCCAGAGAAGCCCCATCCCTACAGGCAAAATCCAAACAGAATCCAGGCCGGGGCCACGTGTAATGGCTTTGGCACTTGGCAGCAGGGAGCCCCCAGCCCTGGCACAGCCCAGCAACCTCCTCCTCATGGCACATCCAAATCTGACCAGTCTGAACTGGGAAAAGCTCCATGAAACCATCAAAGAGCCCCAGAGCTGAAAAATGGAGCTTGGAATTCAGGAGTCACTTCCCAAGCCCCAGCCCTGTGTGCAGAGATAACTGGGAGTACATTTGTTTATTTAAGCCCCAGAGAGGAAATCATAAAAATGTTCATTTGAAAAATGTAAACTCATCCCTGTTTCCTTGAACCACACACGTGTCACCCTCCAGCGTCCTCTGGGAGAGGAGGCAGGACAGTCAGACACAGACTCTGGAGCCAGGAGATGTGGAATGTGGAACATGGGGAATGCTGTCACCAAGGGAAGCAGCTACAGCTAAAAGGGGTTTTTGGCAATGAACACTAATTCAGGGAAGGATCATTCCCTCAGGATTGCTCTGGCACCTCCAGCTGCAGAGGAATTCAGTTTTCTTCATCCGAGGAGAGACCTTCAATCTCATCCCTGTCTCCTCCAATCGCCATCCAGAAGGCTTTGGCCACCTACAATGGCAAAAAGGATGGGAAAGGGAGAACATTCCCATCAAATGGCTGAAGATTTGGTATTTCCCATCCAAAGAGTAGGAACTGAGCAGCAGCTCACTCTGGCCAGCAGGTCTGTGAGTGCAACACATCCTCTCTGAGGTGAAGGAATTTCAGAGGCACAGAGGCAATGGTTCAGGTTATGGGAGGCACCTGGGATACAAAACCTGTGCTATTTAAGGCCATCATTAAATTTTCCAGAGATCCACAGTTTTCCATTGACCTGTGGAAGCTGGCCAGCACCCCCAGTGACTGCAGGGCTTTCAGTCTTTTTTTTATGGGGTGGAATGAAATGATCTTTAGGGTCTCTTCCAACCCAAACCATTCCAGGATTTTATGTTTTTCTGATATTTCAAACTTCCACATTATGCAATTTTTGAGAGATAACTGACAAGTCTTCCCTAGGACTGTGTGGTTTGTTCTCTCTACTCTTAGTCCAGGAACTCTCCAGGAGCAGGAACTGTGGTGTGGAAAGAAAACACCCAACTGATTGATTCCCACCCCAGTTCCAAAGGCTCACCTTCTCTGCGTGCAGCTTCCTCTGCTCGTGAGGCAGCGTGGCAGCTTTGTCTGTGGGAAGGAGAGGAGTAGGGTTGTGAAGCTCAGCAGTGAACACCTCCTGCTCCTGGATTTGGGAACTCCAGAGCACCTCCTGCTCCTGGATTTGGGAACTCCAGGGTACCTCCTGCTCCTGGATTTGGGAACTCCCACAGCACCTCCTGCTCCTGGATTTGGGAACTCCAGAGCACCTCCTGCTCTTGGATTTGGGAATTCCAGAGCAACATCTGCTGCTTTCAAGAGCATTATCAAGATGAAGGGCGAATGAATGGAAAGAGCAGCTACTTCTAAAGGACTCGAGGGAGGAGAACAGGAATTTCACACCTCCCAACTCACTCCTGGCTCTCTCTGAGCCCCTGCAGGAGGTGCCAGAGCTCAGGTCCAGCTCTCCTGGTGCGTTACCTTTCATTTCTTTCAGCTTTGAGAAGAGCCTTTCGAAGTTCCCCAGGTCCCCATCCCTCGTGGTCAGGCTGGCCAGCTCCTGGATGTCCATATCCAGCACGGGATCTGAAATACAGCTCGGTTGAAGAGAAATTGTTCTGCTTTCTCACTAGAAAACCAGGATTTTAACAGCTGCAAATCCCATTTGCAAATCCCAATGTCATAGGAGAGAAAGAAACACAATTTACTGATTGCTCATACAGACAAATCATGGATGGCATTGTTACAGTGGTGATTAATTTTATGGAAGGAATTCATCCCTGTGAGGGTGGGCAGGCCCTGGCACAGGTACCCAGAGCAGCTGTGGCTGCCCCTGGATCCCTGAAGTGCCCAAGGCCAGGTTGGACAGGGCTTGGATCAGCCTGGGACAGTGGAAGGTGTCCCTGCCATGGCAGGGGTGCAATGGGATGATTTTTAAAGTCCCTTCTAACCCAAAATATTCCAGATTCCATGGTTCTGTGATATATTACACATGAGCTCATCCAGTAGTTAAGATTTCTTGCTGATTCCAGAAGGATCTGTCCAGAAACAGCCACAGAGTGAATCAAAGAGTGATGAGCTGTGCTGAGACCACATCAAGCATGCAGATCTCACCCCCAGCTGTAAAGCAGTCCCATCTCCTGGAATGCTGCAGGGATTTAAGGACTCTCCTTTGTTCCCCACTGTCCCCTGGGGCCAGGGCTCTGTGCTGAGCTCACCTGCAGCACTGTCAGGCTCCAGGCTGTGTGTGCCAGCTCCATCCTCTCCACCATCTGACTGGGATTCTTCCCTGTCTCCTGGAGATGGGCTGGACTGTCAGGAAACAGAGATATTTCAGAATCCAGTAATGCATGAAAAAACAGCAGCAGCAAATCAGGTGCCTCCTGCTTTTCCTTCAAAACCTTGCACTGGGAATTGGTGCTGCATGAAGGGATTTCAGCATGGATTTGTTGGTGTTTTTCAAATAACACCAAGAAATGACAGGTTTTCTTTTACCCAAACGGGATCATTTGGATATAATCAAACCCATCCTAGTGGAGCTTTTAGTGCTCCTTCCTTTGGCTCTGAGGCACAGTGGGGAGGTCCCAGGCACCCCCCTGGATGCAGGCAGGGCCTGAGCAGAGCAGGAACCAGGAATTACTGGAATTACTGTTTACTTCTGTCTCCGGGGTCTCTTCACAGCCACGGCTCCTGTTTGCTCCTGCCAAGGTGCTGAGCAGACCAAAGCCCTGGGTCCTGTCTGCAAACAAAGCACAAAGTGCAAAATTACTGCAAATACCGGGACTGGCCAGGTGGGAGAGGGAGTGTTTCACAGCACCCCGGAAAACTGTGCCAGTGCACTTGAAAACAGACCTTAAACTGAAATTTCACATCAACTCTAAGCTTTAAACTGTGCCTGCACCATTTGCTATCAAATGTTCCCCCAGGGAAGAGATGTGTGAGCCACAGGAGATGTGGGGTCTTTCTTTCTAAAGCTTGTTGGAAGCCTCTGCTCTGTTGGGATCTGAGCTGGAAAATTCCAAACGAGGCAGCTGGAAAATCCAAAGCAGAATTTGCTGTTCCTGGTGCTCAGGTTTAGCCTCCATGGGAAGCAGCACTGAGTCTGAGCTTGGATTCAGGAAAGGCAACGAGAGCCTTTGCTCACACATTGAACAGGCTGAGCACGACAATCACGGCAGAGAAAATTGTTAAATATGGATTCAGAATTCCTGGATGGATTCATCCATCAAATCCAGGGTTTCTTCTCACTGCAAGGTGCTCTGGGCTCTCCCCACTGCTGGCCTAGGGTGTATCTCAGTGCTGTTTTAAAACCCAGCCTAAAAAGTGATTTCAAACCTGAACAGTCATCTAAGATAATAAATGTGGTGCAGTATTTTTAATTTAAACTGGCTGTATTTTAAAACCTGTTTTATATAAAAATATGTGCATAATGGGCGATATGATGAGGTGTTTTTTACTAAGTCAGGTTTTCCTAAGTCAGTTTACTACTCCATACAAACTGGCCTTGCACTGAGTAGTAAATATTTGCAGTTACACAAGGCACTCAGGAGATTTTTCTGCAAACCTTCGTATTTTAGTCAACTAAAAGTGAAATGATGTGAAGCTGTTGTACCAGAAATAGCCAGGAAACAATGACTTCTGCCAGAAGAAAGATTTAATGTTACTTTTTAAAAGAAGTATGTTCTAAATTATTACACTCATGACTAAGCTCTAGACTCAACTGTTGAGGTGATGTCATTTGGATGCTCTGTCCAAATTTCCCTGCCATTTCTCCAGACTCTCATTTTGAGGGGTTGGATGTGTAACTGAGCCCATCCAGCACTCACACAAACACATCTCCATGAGAGAATTCCTGAGCCCCCACTCCCTGTTCCCTGCTCCTGCAGCTGATCTGTCCTGCCCCATCCCTGGCAGGTGTTTGGGGCCACTGGCTCTGCGTTATCCCTGTTTGCTGCTTTAACAGATCCCTGGCCAAAGGTGGGGAGAAGTGAATCAGGGGAGCTGAAAGAATTCCCTGGAAAACGTTCAGCTGCCCATGAAGTCCAGCAGGTCAATGAACAGGAGCTGGAGGATGAAAGTTTGGGATTTGCATCCCACAGCAAAGCAGCGTCCCCAAGTTTCATGGGCTGAGCAGAGAGCTGGCTTTGGGGAAGCTGTGAAGGTGGACATGGAGCCAATTTCTGAGTCACCTCAAGCAAGGTTGGACACTGCAGTGCAGAATGTCCTGCAGAGAGAACATTCCCACACTGGCAGAGGGGTGGATGCAGTGATCTAATCATGGCCCTCGTTCATAGCTGGGATTAGAGTTTGTCCTGCACAGAAGAATGGCAGTGGCTCCACATTCCCTCCCCCATCACTGCAGAACCTCAGCCAGAATTATTACAAATGTCATCCCTTTCTGAAGAACCTGGAGTGTGCAGCAGGGATCTCTGAACAGCAGCTATTTGTCCCTGGATCCGTGTTTAGGGAGGAGGCAGACACAACACTTGGTTGCAGGCACACCCTTGGAAAACCCTTCCTATAAACTCCTTTTATTGGATGTAAAAGTTACTTCAACTTCTGGGTGCAATTCAGGAAGTGGGTGATGCCTTACACAGTGTTCTTAAGGCAGGAAAGCCAAAAATTAGCTCATCCCACTTATTGGAGGAGTCAGTGGCTGTGATGGAGCCCAGAGCAGCTGTGGCTGCCCCTGGATCTCTGGAATGTCCCGGGCCAGGCTGGACAGGGCTGGAGCAGCCTGGGGCGTGGGAGGTGTCCCTGCCATGGCAGAGGGGGAATGGGATGGGATTTAGGGTCCCTTCCCACCCAAACCATTCCAGATCCCTGTGCAGTTTCACAGGAATCACTCATGATGCTCTGAACATGGATTCAGTATTCCCAGATTCCTGTTTCATAGCCAAGTGTTTTCCACTGCCTTTACCCATTATTATTCCTCCAGTCTGTCTCCAGCTGACACATGGTGATCCTTATACATAAAATTGGAATTAACACATCAAAATTCACAATTTGTTTGAATGGCCTCCCTAAATCAGGTTAATTGGCTGTGATTAGAGCCAGGCTCATTCCTGGCCTCACCTGAGGTAAGCAGCTTCACCTGGGATCACTCAGGCTGGGATTTAAGCAGGAAAGAAGCCAAACAGCCTCTTCTAGAGGGCTGGAAATGGTTTCTCTTCTTGCCACAGAGGCTCTTGCAGGGACTGAGAAGGTAATAGCAGTTTAATATCTCTGTGGGGAAGGAAATGTGCTACCTGGAGAATCCCTCATGTTCTCCTGCTCCAGAAAACTTCCAGAGACTGAAGGGAGCTCCAAGGCCTGGGGATCCAACTTTACACCAGCTCCAGAAGGGATTTGCTCCTGGGAGACTCCCAGGTAAGACTGCTTGTGTGGCTTGGAGTAGAGATAATGCTGTTCCACTTACTCACAACGCATGTGGGATTAGTAACTTGGTGTAAACTTGTTTCTAATTCAACTGTGTTACATTTAACAATTCTTTTTATGGATCTGTGTGAGAATGATGCAGTTAATGGTGAGAGAAAAAATCTGAAGTTGAAAATTTTAATTAATAGGTATGTGAAAAAACCCTGTAGCTTGAGAAATGTGTTAAGGCTTAATGCAATAAAATACTGTGAGTTTGGTGTTTGTGCTTGAAAAAAGTTATTCCTGCTCTGTCTGTAAATCTAAATTATCATGGAAATGGGTTTCTGAATTCAGGCAGTGCTGTTGAATTAAGGCTACACCTAACAGTGCTATAAGTATTTGCTACTACACATTTACTACTGCAGCTCTCTTAAGGTCTCTGATAACTCTTCCCTGCATGGTTTCCAACCAGCCAGGAATTACAGTTCATTCAGTGGAAAAGCTGAAGCTGGATTTACATGGCAGTTTCTAGGATCTGGAGGAAGCTGAAAACAAAAGATATGTTACAGGTTGTAAAAAGTTTTTATTTTAAGCAAAATGAGCTCAACAATTTCCCTTTGAAGGCACAGTCAGGCTGCAACACCTTCCAAATATAGCTCACTTCCTGAGGGGTTTGTGCTGGTACAGCAGTGCTGTGTGGGGCTGGTGCTGTGCAGAGAGAAAATCAGGATTTTTCAAGGAGTCTGACCTTTACAGAACACACCAGTGATGTGCAGGAATTTCCCCCCTGTGAGGAACTGAGCATGTGACTAAATTCTGCTGTTCTGTAAGGTGGCATCTGCCAAATACAGGAAATGTGTTGTTAAAAAACCACTTTTAGCACAAGTGAGATAACCTGATGCCATCTGCCAAGGTTACCTGGTTCTCTGCAATGGTTCCACTGAATCAGACCCCACCTGCACCTCAGCTCTGATGGGGAATGAGAAATCCTCAAGAAGCTGCATTAAAAATGCAGGTTAATAATTCTCATCCTGGTTTTACTGAGTCCCAGCAAGCACCCTGCAGACACAGACATTAACAGCAGCCTCTCAGAGCTTTAAATCATTCCACAGTTAATTGCTGCAGGAAGGGAGAAGCCACAGCAGTGGGAAATGGGACATCAGGGAGCAGAGAGGTGTCAGAAGGTTGGCAGTGGGATGAGGCTCTCTGAACAATAAAGTCCAGGCCAAGCACTCCTGAAGGGTTTAATTTTCCTACATTTTCTGCAGCAGTTTGTGTGATTAGAAAATCTAAAAAACAAAACAAAAATCCCCTACAACAAATGTGGAATTTAACCTTTACTTCTACACTGAATCATGTATCAGTCTGATAAAGCTCATAATTGCAACCTATTTCCTACTAGAGCTTGGTGGAACAAACTTTGAGTTTTCATTGCAACCTGCAGAATTAATGGAATATTTAACTCAAATTACTGGTAGAGTAGAAGTTAAAGTAGAGAGGGAGCAGGTGCTGGAACAGGAGGAAGTTTTACACAGAAATCCTTTCCTGTGAGGGTGGTGAGGCCCTGGCACAGAGAAGTTGTGGCTGGAAGTGTCTAAGGCCAGGCTGGGTGAGCTTGGAGCACCCTGGGACAGGGAGTAAGCTGAGCTTTAAGGCCCTTCCCAACCCAAAGCATGCCAGGATTCCGTGATAAATCTCACCCACTGCTGTGAGCTCATCAGGACACGGCAGGAGGATGAACTGAAAGCAATGCCTGGAGCCTCCTGCTCCCTGGGGCAGGTCCCAGAGTGCTCCAGCTGTGCCTGTGCTGCTCCCCCTGAGCTCCCCCAGCCCTGCAGAGCTCGGGCCAGGCCCAGGGCACCCACCTCCCTTGATGAGCACGTTGGACCAGACGTTGGCGTTGAGGGCCTGCACGATGCGCTTCACTCCGGTGGATTCGGGGAAATCGTCTGCACCAAACACAGAGAGCGACTCTGAAACCCTTAAAAACAACCCAAAAACCACCACATGCCTCCAGAGTGGGGGGCTGGAGGCCTGTCCTGTCTTCTCACAATCATTGTCAATTCTGCTCCTGATACAAAACACAGATCTTTCACCTTTGATTGATGAGAGGCCAAGGAAATTTAAATTAATGCCTCATTCTTGGGCTGAGCTTCCAGGGATAATGAGCTCAGCCTTTTGCAGATATCTAAATTCTTTTTGTTACTTACATATTTAGCAGGATGCCTACATTAAATAACATCTTCATAGCATATTATAAAAGTATAAGACACTTTAATATAATTACAAATATTACTAAATAATAAACAATAATCTAGTAAATTATAATAAATAATAACTATAATAATATAAAAGTATTTTATACTTTATATATATATAAATTTTACAGTAACAGGAAACTTGAACCTTTCACCCCAAGATCTTTTACAATGCTGTATAGCATAGAAATAGATTACAAAATAGATACTATAATTACTTTTCTTTCTTTTAGAGAGTATAGAACTTGAGACAACCATTTAAAAAGGGTGTGATGCCTGTAAACAATGGAAAGGAATATTTGTAAAGCTGTCCCTACAATATCTAACTCCAAAAGTTCCAGTAACCCTGGGAACTACAGAAACTTGAAAGCCCAGGGAAAGCATTATTCAGATTTTAATTTATTTACTGAATAGATCTGACACCACTTTGGATCAAGTCAGTTTTCCCATTTCCTCAGTTTAGTCAGCTTCCCATGTTTGTGCAGGTTGACAAAGGGAAAAAAAACCCAAACAATCCTTTGGATACAAAAGTGTTTTTGTTTAGAAATCAAACTCAAGTGACGCAGATGCAGTAATTGAAACTGCCTTTAGAAATGCATTTAAGGCTGAAATCAGATGTTTTGCCCTCTGTGCTGCTGTTTGGTTTGATATCAGAGCCATTATCAAGAGTCTCAGCTCAGAGCTCTTGTCCTGACTCTGCCAACAGCTGACAATGAGTCAAAAGAAAAGTTCCAGTTTATTTGAGATGAGCTGCCTGAAATGTCAGAATCTCGAGCAGAGATTGGCCCAGTGTGTTTACAGCATCTGTTGTGCCTTTTGTAACTCACCCAAAATGTTTGGGGGGTAAATAAGTTACTCACAGGAACACAGTTCCTCCTCTGCATGAGTCACAGTGAATCAACTACCAGATTAAACAGCTAGGAAAGAACATGTATCCCAATATTCCAAAAATTAACATCCTGAGTTGTTATTGCTCCCATTAAATAAATGCTAAAGAGCTTGTTCTTTACAACAATTATTCAACAGAAAAATATCTTGATTTAAGGTTACTATTTTTAAAGCAATTAGTGTTTGTTTAGTCTAAGGAGTCTTCACTTCCGATTTTCCCAGTTTCTGTGGATCAAATCTGTGAATCTCCCTCCTTGACTAAAAAAAAGGGAAACCTTTTTAAGGGCATGATGGGGAGAGAGGGAGACTTCTCAGCTCCTCAAGGTCCAATTTCAGTAGGCCTTTAAAGGGGAGAAAGAGGTGTTCCAGTGAGGATTTTATAGTGAATTATTTTTGGTGACTGCAATGTGCTTGGAGAACCTGAAATAGAGCAAATGTTAGTGACCAATTCCTCTCCAGTCTGCAGTTATCTCATTTTCCTCCAGAGAGGTAAGGTGTAAATGCTTTTTTGTGTCACTGAAGTAAGGAGATAAGGTTGATGCTGATAAGGCTGTCAGGAAATGCACAGTCACTTTTCACGAGTGGAACACCACTTTTCTGACTCTTCTTGCTGGCCTTTTTTTTTTTTTCAAGTTATAAATGTTGGGCAGCCAGTGATTCTGAAACTGGTTTATTTCCTGTGTAACAGCTCGTGTTGCTCTGAAATGTTTTTAACAAGCTGCCGTTTTCAGCCTGTCATGTCACTGTTTGTACCAAGATAGCATAAAACAGTTTTCAAGTCTTTTTAAAATCAGAACTTTTCTGCCCTCATGCAGAAAAATGTTTCTTTAGGTTGATTTTCCAAGTGGAATATAAACTTCTGATGTATCAATAGAGTCCTAGGGCAGTGCCAGAAAAAGGAGCAGATATTATTTTTATGTAGGTGCTGCACAAACAGCAGCTGGATTTGGGAGGGGACAAATGGAATTTCTCAGAGGAAATAACCTCCTCCCCCTCATGACCTTTTACAGCTGAGACTCAGCCCTACCAACTGGGAGCATTCCATGCTGTAACCATGTGGCATATCAGAAATTGCAAGGGGCATAACTTTATTTAGAAGGTATTTTTGGGGCACTTTTTCATTCTCAAAATGGCAAGAGAAGCAGCAGACCTACCATCTTCATCAGGCAGCTCCTCAGGGCTGAGCTCTACCAGCTCAAAGCCATGCTTGATGCACCATTCTTGAGCTTTCTGTCTGCTTACACCTAAATTGGGAGACAAAAATGGGTATTGAAGGTGCAGATTTTAGACCAGTACCAGCGTATTTATCAGAATATTTAGCTGTGTTTTATTCCCTCAAAGTTGTTTGCTTGCTCTGGAGTGTATGGCAAAGTGCATAGCAGCTGGCATGGATCCTCCATTCACTGTGGGTTCCAAAAATAGAGTTAAACTCCTGCTTGGAACTGAGGAACAGAATAAAATGGTTTTGCAGAGGGTAAATGTAGGTGTGAATGAAGACTTCTGTTAACTCTGGGTTTGACACCAAATTAAGCTGCAGGGACACACCTGCATCTCCCAGCTTGCTGTTGCCTAGAGCCACAGCAAATGTATCTGCTCCATGTCCAAATGTCAAAAAAAAAATGGCATTAGCAACTAAGTCCCTCCCTATTTTTCTCAGCAGGATCCATGCACATCCAGCAGCAGGAATGCCTTTAGTCCCCCTGCAGTGGCAGGACAGAGCTGACTGAGCAATCTGGTAAAATTCTGACTCAGTTCTAACCATATCCCACTGAAGGTTCCAGCTCCTGCTCCCCAGAGCTCTCCGGGCCACTCTCACCCAGACTCTGAGAAGCAAATATTGATGTAATTAGAAAGTTAATTATTATGCAGGTTAATGGCTCTGAGTGAGGATGGGAGTTCTTTGGGTCTCCTACCATTCTCAGACACTCTGTCACAAACCAGGATCATCACTTCTGGCAGCCACTCTTCTGTCAGGGGCAGCCATTCAGAGACACCCTCCAGTCCAGTTTTCTACAGGGGAAAAGAAAAGTCTTCTTTGGAATACATCCTACAATAGTTTTTAATAGTATTAGAACTGAATTATATAAAGAAATAGGCTTTTTTGCCTCAACCTTTCTGGTTTCTGCTAAAACAGTTTTCACTGCTGCTGGCTTAGTAGAAACAATTTTGGGTGAAATGCCCTGAATTTAGTTTAGCTCCCTAAATTTTGTCTGTCCTAAAGGAGCCTTTAAGGAGCAGCAGCAGCTAGGAATAAATAAGGAGATGGTGAGCTGGATTTGCCACGGTGGCACAATGACTCCTGAAAACCCCTCTTCCAGCTGGAGGAGAGTAGCAAGAGAGAAGCAAACTGCTGCTATTGTTAGCAGGGAAATGTAATATTTAGTATTTATTATTGATCTTCTGCCAATGAGTAGAACAGCTCAAAGGGGATGGATGGAGGTTCTGATTTATGGTTCTCACTGTGACAGGGCAGCTACATGAGAGATAAAGCAGAGAATGAAGCAGAAGAGCCTTACTGTTGTGCTGTCAAAGTACACAACAAACGCCTGCACAGCCTCGGCGATCTCTCCAGTCACGTGGAATGTGTTTGGGACCACACAGAGGTGGATGTCTGCAGAGTAATATTTGTTATCTATCGTCCAGGGGTAGAAATTCACTCTTCCACTCGTTATTGCATCCATGGTAAGGTCATCTTTTCCTGTGATACCTGCAAGACAGAAAATGGGTGAGGAGGAGGGTAAAACCAGCAGCAAGAAAATAATTTGTCCAGGAAAGTACAGTGCCAAAGCAGATCCATCTTTACTATAATAAACCAGTGCATAATCAAGATCTTTAAAAATTCAACTCAATTTGTTATTCTGTCCTAGATTTTATTGCTTAGCTTTCAGAAGAGTTTATTTTCTAGTTTTCAATATAAAATATGGCCCAGAAGCTGCAGAAAGCCTTTTGTTTTCCTGGAAGTGCCCTTTCAAGTGTTAACCTCAAACTTAGTATCTGTTAACAGGAGGTATGGAGAGAAAACCTAAACTTTATTACAACCCTTGCGTGCTCCTTGAGATGTAAAGATCTGTTTAACTGTGACCAAAACCTGAAGGTAACTAACGAGAAAATAAAGCCAGTTCCTACAATTCAGGTGGAATTCCCAGGAAATTCCATGCAGAAGCTCAAGCATTAAAATCCAGTGCTTTGCTCAGGTGCTGCCAAGCTCTGCCCTCCAAGGTAGGAACCTTCCCAGGAACTCTCCTGGAGCTGAAGCAGAGCTGGAAGCAGAGCATCCCATTATTCCTTGAGGGAAAGGCCAGGAAATCTTGTTCAGGCTGGATGAACTCGTGGGCACTTTAGAACACAAGGTCAATTATTTCTAAAATGGACTGAGTCATCCAGAATTGCCTTGGGCAGGAGAAGAGTTAAAGAATAAAGTACATGGCTTTTCAAGGATTTGTATTTTAAGGTACTGAGAGTTCCTGGAGCTGCTGGAACAGGCTGTTCCAAAAAGTCTGGAGATGAATTTGAATTTATCTGTATCTTATTAGTAAAGAGACAGGAAAACCTCCTTGCCAAGGCTGCAGTGATTTTTACAAGTAAACTGCAAAGCTGAGAAATGGATCTGGTGAATGAGCACAGGGCACGAGGCAGGGAGAGCTGCAAACCAGGATTATTTGCAGCCCTGAGGAGGAGATGGAATCTGAGGGAGAAATGTGACCTTGGAAACAGAAACCTGCAGCCATTTCCTCTTTAAGAGGATGAAATAGGAGTCTCCTCTCTGGGCTTCTTAAAATAAGAAGTGTCACATCTCAATGATTTTTCCAGGTTTAAGTTTTATTTTATTGTTGGATGGCAATTATTTTTCAAAATAATTGGTCTTTAATCAGATGATATTGCATGCTAAGATTACCCACCTCACTTTGGAGCTGGGGGACAAAGATCTGAGTCACGACCAAACAAACCTGGATTCTGAGCTCTGTATTCTCAGAGGTTTTGCTTTGGATATGATATTAATTTCCCCTTGCTAGTGTTTTGACAGTTAAAAATAAGTAACTAAATTAAAATCAGTCTGAGCTAACAGAATTACAAGTCAATGCCATAGGAGGCTAAGAATAAAAGGTTGCACAGAAATTACTGAAACCCAGGAAATCAGCAGGAAGACTTAGGGAGGAAAATGGGGTGAGGAAGGAAATCAGCTCTAAAGTCACCTGAGTCAGTCACCCTAACAAGGACACAAAGGGAAAGAACTTTCATAAAAAGTTTTCAAAAGCTGATATGGATTTCACATTTGCTTTGTAAGGGATATTTATTTTAGAAGAGTCCTGGACAAATTTAGGTCTCAAAGCACTGCTAGAATGAGGCCATGTCCCATTTCCTATTATTTGCTACTTGTTCCTGTATTTTAAGGGGTTTTCTTTCATCCCATTGTGCTGCTGATTACCCATCCTTCATGCTGAGATTTTGCCAATTCCCTGTGAAATTTCTCTCCCAGTAAAAAATGGATGTTGCACACTAAACTCCAAGGGCTTCAGGAACCTGGTGAAAGGATTCAGACCTGCTGTGCTCGGGCTGCTTGTGGGGCTGTAAGAAATCACTGCAGGAAACTGAGCAGCTTGTCAGTTTTCTCCCCAAAAAGTCACTTGGAACAATTTGGTTTTGGTCTGTAGAGCAAATAAGCAGAGACTACAAATGAAACATACACTGTAACTCAAACTGAATTCTCATTTGATGCAGGAATTAGCTTTAAGGGCTGTATTTACCACCCCAGTATTGACATTTAATTTCATTTATCATACAGATAAGATAAATAATCATTTTGAACACAAGAAAGAACATGGCAATATTATAAAATCTCACATCCCCTCCCATTTTTAATGCTGAATCTTACGAAGTCTTCTGAAAGTGCAAATACATTTGAAAAAGGGGAGTTGAAGACCAGAAATAACTTTTCAGAAGAGTTAAATAATCAGAGAATCACATGCAGCTCTCCTGCAGTAGTTCTCTAATACCCAAGTGGTATTTAAGCACTTTTAGTACATTATGTCTAATAATAATTTTTTAAATTATTACAACTTCCTTATGCAGTTTTCCCCCCAAAGATATTAAGATATTGACCACTTTTCATAGTGTTTTTCAGACTGAATTAATGTTTTAAGAACATTATGCCCTAAATGCTCCCAAATCCTCAGAGTTGTCAGGTACACCGAGTGGTTCCCACATTCTGGGCCTTGAGAGCCACCTGGTGGAATAAACCATAAAAAATACTCCTAAAATTACACCAAGGAGTAAAGAGAACCCAAATATGCTGGGGAAGGGGAGGAGGGGAGTGGTAAAAATCCAAAAAAGAAAAGGAAGAACAATCCCATCAGACAGAAGGAAAACTGAGCCAATCTTATTTGCAGTTTTGTGATAAATACATCACAATAACAGGCAGATCTATGTTGAGCACTTTAAATAGCTTTGTTTTGCCACAGTGTCCCATGAATTAAAGCATTCAGAGCATCCTGCAGGAACCTAAACAAATAAAAATGTATCTAGCAAATGTACCATCAGCTGCTTCTCATCCTCAAGCCATTTTCCATTTAACAGGGGGAAAACCCTGGAAAAAGTCTTGGGATTGGCCTGAAAAGTTCTGGCAGGCTGTTTGACCCCACCAAACCCTCCTCACTGCTGCCCCATCCCTGCCTGTGACTGTTTTACAGTCTGCTGCCTCTGATTTAATCTCACTTGTTTTACAAAGCAAGGATTTAAGATGCTGATAGTATTTATTTTAACCAAAGATTTTATTTCTTTCAGGAGGATTTTAATGTAACCCAGTCAGAGGACACACAGACAAGACTCCAGATTTGGAACTGGGAGCCATGGAAGCTGAGGTATTTCAAAGTGAGTACTAGTTTTAAAAAAATCTGATCTTAAATGTTACAACTTTCTCAGATTAAGTAGCTTTTTGCTCACCTACCTTTTCTACCTGTTTCATTTCACTATGTGAAATAATCAAAGGGGAAACCTAGAGGAACCTTGAGTAATTCCTTCCAATTTGCGTATACGTTCCTCAAAAATAAGCTAATAATACTATTTTTTGGTGTGGAATCTTTAAATAATTCAGTGTCCTGCAGCTACTTTGACAGAGAAGCCTTTGGCTGAATATCTTGTACTGTTATTTTTGTTCCAAAACATGCTTTAATGAGGTGGAGGGAGGCAATTCCTGGGGGCAGCCCTGTGCTTGGTAAGGTCCTAAGTAAGAATTGCTCAGAAAGAGAGAAAAACAAATCTAGAGAAGATTTGAGGGAGTTAAATTCCACATCTCAGTGTGCACAGCAAACTGTTGGTGAACTCCCTAAAAACCAAGGCTGTACTAACATAGGGAACCCACCAAGATCCGAATAGCTTCTTCCTGGAATCCACCAAGATCTGAACAACTTCTTCCTGGAATCCTCCGATTTTAAAACTACCCAAAATTCCACCATGGTTTCCTCTACTATCAGATCTTATTCTTGTGTTCCCCTTTTTGAGCCATAAAAACGGCAAGTGGTTCCTGAGAAAACCACTTCCTACTGAATGAGTTCTACCTACTCGGTACCAAATGTAATCTGCAATTCTAGCAGCTGCAGAACAGACACAATTTTTAGTTTTCCCTTTTAATCCATCCCCACTAAGAAAGCGGTGAATTATTTCCTTAAAGCGCTAAGGAAGCTCCTGACACCCTCTGCAAGGGGTCGGGGGCTGCGATCCTCCTGTCCTGAGGGGAGGATTGAGACCCTGAGAGAACTGCGACCGTGAAGGGGAAATGAGAACCTGAGGGGAAATTGAGACCGTGAGGGGGAAATTGGGGACCCTGAGGGGGAAATGGGGACCGTGAGGGGATGGCAGAAACCCTGAGGAGAAAACCGAGTTGTGAGGGGTCGGCGGCGACCCTGAGGGGGAAACTGGGACCGTGGGGGGATGGCAGCAACCCTGAGGAGAAAATTGGGTCGTGAGGGGACGGCGGCGATCCTGAGGGGAAAATTGGGACCGTGAGGGGGAAACTGGGACTGTGGGGGGATAGCGGCGATCCTGAGGGGAGAACTGAGACCGTGAGGGGACGGCGGCGATCCTGGGGGGAGGATTGAGACCGTGAGGGGATGGCAGCGACCCTGAGGGGAGGATTGAGACCGTGAGGGGACGGCGGCCATCCTGAGGAGAAAATTGGGTCGCGAGTGGACGGCAGCGATCCTGAGGGGAAAATTGGGACTGTGAGGGGTAAACTGGGACTGTGGGGGGATAGCGGCGATCCTGAGGGGAGGACTGAGACCGTGAGGGGACGGCGGCGATCCTGAGGGGAGGATTGAGACCGTGAGGGGATGGCAGCGACCCTGAGGGAAAAATTAAGACTGCGAGGACATAGCAGCGAGGCTGAGGGGAAAACTGCGATCCTGAGGGGAAAACAGCCCCCATAAGGGCCAGGTCTGGAGGGATCCGCTGCCAGCCTGATTCGCGCGGGCGCAGGCAAGCCGCAGCCCCTGGTTCCACCCGCTCGGGCGCCGCGGCGGCCCCGACTCACGTTTGACGAGCTCCTCGGGCGCGAAGCCCGCGGCACAGCTGGTGAGCAGCGCCAGCGGCCGCGCCGCCGCCGCCATGGCGCCCGCGCCGCGCCCCTTCCGCCGTGCCGCTACCACCGCCCGCGGGGGGGACGGCCGGGGGAAGGAGCGGGCGGAGCGCGGGCTCGGCTCTGCTGGATGCGCTGTTCCCCCCTCCCGGCGGCGGGGCGGATGGTGCGGCCCGGCCGGCGCGTCCCGTTGCCGGGCGCGGCGGTGCCGCCATGGCCGGAGCGGGGCCGGCGCTGCCGGTGGGTTCGGACAGCGCCGGGAGCCGCACCTTCCTCCCGGACCGGCCTCTCCTGCCCCGCCAGAGCAGCCGGGACACCGTGGGGTGTCCCTCAGCAACCTGGGGTGTCCCTCGGCACCGCGGGTTGTCCCTCGGTGAGGCGCGGCGCGCCCGGTGCTGCTGTGAGGGGCCGCGGGATGCGCTGAGGGGCTGCGGCGTGAGGGAGCTGTGGGTGCTGCGGGGTTCGGGAGCTCGGAGGTGTTTGCTTAACGTAAATAACACGCGTTTGACATGGGCTGTGCTCTCCTCGCAGGCTGCCTGGAGTTTGTGTCTCTCCTTAAGGGTTTTGAGGTTCCCCGCCCCGTGAAAGCATCTGTGCCACGTGTGAGGATACATCATTCCTTAAGTGGAGAATCTCAGTCCTGAAGTTTATTGTCGCTGCTTTATGAGGTTTGTTTTAAAATTGAGTTTTACCAGCCTTTCTGCAATCAGTGAATTTAAGTAATTGGCTTTGTAGTCTCTTATTTATAATAGTACAGAAGTATGGGGAGTTGCATGGATATTTTTTTACTGTATTTAGGAATCATTTAATTTGAACTAAATCCTGCCTAACTCCATGGGGTTTGGTTGCAGGTATGATTTTTGTCCTAACTTGCTTCTTAGATTTAGGAAGACCTTCAGAAGCTTACAATGGAAAAAACTAACTTGAAAGGAAATGCAGAAGCGAGTGATATTTCTGACCTCAGAAAAGCAACTGAAAGGGCTGAACTTGGGCTGAGAGTAAGTAAAATAGAGCAGATCCAGAAAATTATTCTGGTTTTAAAGTCTGTGTTAATAATTCACACAGGCCACTTACTTGTTGTGTTACAAGATCCCTTTCCAATCTGATGAGAGTACTCAGACATTACAGTTCAGAATGATGCCTCCCTTTTTGGGTCATCAGAATTAACTGATCTTGGTCAGCCAAAATCAGATTTTTAGTCTGACAGAGACACAAAGTTTATCAGCTTTTCAGTCAAGCAAAGACCTGGTTGCTTAATGAACTGAGTTAAATAAAATTAATATCCCCTGTATCTTTATAATAGGCTAAAAATAATTTTTTTCCCTGACAGAAACATGCTGAAAATTATTTCAATGTTACAAATGGCCAAGAGTTAACTCTTTATTCAGCTGGTAATAAAGAAGTGAATTCCAAAGAGCCTCCTAAGTGGTGAGTGAAACAGATGTTTTATTCCAGCATGACACAAAAACTGAGGTGACATAATCATGTAAAGCAAATGGGAGTATTGACCTAGAAAAAGTTAGTTTAGTCCTTTCCTTTTTCGATTTTAAGTTAAAAAAAAATACAAATGTAAATGCAATTCAAAGTGGCTCCAGCAGTGCTCTGCTAACTCACGTGGTTAAATGCAAGTTTAAATAGAAATACAGTCATTTGGGTGGAAGCAGAGTGGGTTTAACGGGTGAAATCCAAGTAATTTTTAGTCAGCTCACTGCCTGTTTCTCTCTCCACCAGGGATCTTCCTTTTGGTGCCTGTCAGGAGCAGCTGGTTCTGCCACCAGTTGAGCCCCTGACTCTGCAGAGGTGCAGCAGACCAGCCCCACGTGTGTGCCAGGGCTCCCAGGTCTGAAACCACACCCTGATCCTTCTGCCAGCAGCCACATTCCAGGAGTGCTTGGTGTCCTGTGCATCCCATAATGCTCTGACTGCCCACAAAGTCAGGGTTTGGTAACACCCCATGGTGAAAGTGTTAACAAATCAGCAGAAGGAGCAGCTGAGACAGGAACCTTCTCCCAGCCCAGGATAACATTTAAATTGGGAAAGATTCCAGAGTCATCCATGCAGGTGTGAATTGGCACTTCCCACCCAGCCAGTCTGACAAAGCCACTTTTATCAGGTGGTTTTTTATTAATAATTCCAATTCTTGTGACCCCTGTGTGGCAGTTTTTCTTGTCAGCCTGAGTGAGGAGTTTGCACTGGGAATCATCCCTGTTTTAATTGAAAGGTGCTCAATTCCCCCAATTCCATTTTTTTAATAGCAGCAGCATTTCCTCCCTGCATAACGGTGTGTTATAGTAATAAAATAAATACCACAAAAGCACTGATGAGGTGAAAATTGAACTTTCTGTCTCTGTGCAGCCATGTGGGTAAAAGAGTAATTGGCTTGGATAATAACTTGTGTTCTTACAGCCCCAAATCTAAATGAGCATCTCATTGATACATCTGCTTGTAATTACCATCAAAAGAAGAGAGAATATATAGTGCAGATAGATAAATTAAACCATTTTTACTGCTTTGCGAAGTAACACAGTTGTTCAATAGTTCAGGTACCCATCTAATGATTCTTGAACATTTTATGGCATATTTTATTTGTAAAAATTGGAATTTTCCTGGATTTATTTTTAAGTTCATACAAAAGAATGTGCGCCAAAACATTTTTAATTTAAGAAACTTCTGCTATAGTAAAAACATAGGGCATCCCTCTGGGTTTTATAGGTATGCTTTAGGTATTTGTTGTAACAAGAAGAAACTTGTAAAGTCTTTTTCTGGCCATTGGGATTTAAATCATCATTATTTTTATTAGCAGAATAGTCAAACTCATTCCATGCAGATCACAGAGTGCATTATGTTTTAATTCTGATTACTGTCAGCCTTTTAAAATTCCTCATTTACTAATAATCAGCTTCTGTGCCTGCACTGATGTATCTATTTGGATAATAGTTCCAGTCCTTTCAAACTTTTCTATCTAAACAAAGACACTTTGCTGTTTGCCCAGTTCAGTGTGGAGTCAAATAATACAAATTATCATAATTTTGCACATTTACAACATGTTAGCTAGTTTCTGCTTCTAAGCACTTCAACCCCAGTGCAGTTATTTTGGGGTTTTCCCTATTCTATATTTCAGCAGCAGGTGGAAATGGATTTTAAAATCATGCTTGACCCAGAGAACGTGGATAATAAAGCTGGTTTAGAACATCCCAACGATGAGACCAGGCTGCCACTTATAGCTAAGAAAAAATCTGCTCCTGTAAGTAATTTTTATTGTTTTATGGGTTTATTATATGCATTGCTTTGCACTACTAAAGTTCATATTTTTCAGTCCTAAATAAAATATTTACATGAAAGTAATTTCCTCATAATTTCCTGCTTTTTGACATGGGTATTTAAAGAGCAAAACATTTTGAGTGCTAATACTGGGAAAAAGAAATCTGACATGGAACAGGTTTGTGTCCCAAGATCCCAATCCAGCAAAAATTTGGATATACAAGGGATGTGCATGGTCAGGAATGTCAGGAAGATCAGGCAGAGATCAGGTGGAGCTTGGGGACTTCTGGGTGTGACCCAGAGATGCAGGAAGAACTAAAAATCCATTCTCCTCTCTGCTCTGGGGGTGTTCAAATTGTGCAAGATTAAGTTTCGATTTTTCCAAATTTCCCTCCTGCAACTGCAAATTTCGGTTCTGCTGCCAGTTCTGCAGTTGTTCTGCAGCAGTTGAATGTTAAGATGATATTTTTAGCAAAGAATGCTTTCAAGAAAAAACCCAAAAGAGAACAGGCACAGCCATCCCTCCAAAAAATCAATTATGTTCACAAATTTAGCACAGCACTGTGGTCCACACAGCCAATGGTCCCACATGGGGATGCTCTTCTAAAATTTAATTTATGTGGCAGAAACATCCTGCAGCAAGCTCAGTGCTCTAGGAGAGATTCTGGGATGTTTGGTTTTAAACAACATAAAGAGAATCTGAATGGCACAGTTGTGAGCTGCCACTTATAAAAAAAAATGATTTTTGGAAAGCTGTTGCCCTGACTTAAGAGGTGATTTGTCTAACCCTGTGATAATAGAGTTAATTAGAAAAAAGCATCATGGCTAATAGCTTTTTAGAACCACTCTAAAACACTCACAGAGAGGAATATTATCCAACTGCAGAGAGCCATGTGTTGTACCACTCTCCCTGAAACATGCACTGAGCCCAGCAAACTTATTGGGGATTTAAATTACAAGCATTTAATGTGAATTACTCAGGCTCCCAGATACATATTTACAGTTACTGAGGAGCTGACAGGCTTAAAAACCAAGCAGGTTTTTAAGGATTTTTTTTTTAAGGATTTTTAAGCTGGTCCTGATGGATCTGAGTTTCTGGGAGAGCTAGAGAGCAGTAGGTCAGGAAAGGAGCAAAGCTTGATTTTTTCCAAATATGTGGGAAACAGTTCAGAGCCATCTCTGGTTACTTTAAGCCTCTCTATTCTCTTCAAAATTTTCACATTTTAGGGCACAATGTGTGATTTGGGATGTTCTGCCTTCTCTGCCTGTAAAATTTTTGCATTTTGCTGTGTATGTTTGCTGTTAAATGTGGTGTCTACCAGCACTTAAGGAAGGGATTTTGTATTATTATACATGATATATATGATTATTAGTATTAGGGACAATAAATCTGCGCGCAGCTTCAGGTCTAAAATGCCGTTAATTCGGATGAAATTGAGATTAAAAATTTTTTATTCAATGGAGATGAAATCGCTGCGGAAGGGAGGGGCGGGCGGCCGGCAGGGGGCGCTGTCCGTACGCGCACGTCCCGCGGGGGTCCGCGGGGTCCCAAAAAAATCCCCGGACAAATCCCCCTCCCCCGAGTAAATTAAAATGAAATTCCCAACTAATTGCTGGTCTCGCGCCACTCAGGAGTTTTCAACGAGCGGCTGAAAGAGTGGTGAGGTTCAAAAGTCGGGGTTGGAGGTGACCTGAGGGGTCAAGCACAAATCTACCCGGATTTTTTATTGTCCTGCCATTCCAGTAGCTGGAAAAATTATTAGTCAGGATTTCATTGTTTCACCAAAAAGTGATGTCTTTTCTTGCTCTTTTGGTATTATAAAGTTGCTGATGCTGGCTTTTATCATAGAAACTAAGAACAATTAACTGTTGCCCTTTTGGACCTTTTTGGGTCTAATAATAATGTTTCATCCTCTGCTAAATTCTGTAGTTATTTTAAAATGAGGGCTGTAATTCTCTTTGAATCACACACTGGGCATCACTTTTTTTTTCTGCAGCCTATATCTGGATGAGAGATGAAAAATGATGAGTGGATAATTATTAAATATGTATACTTCCCATGGAGTATCCAGCCAGAGGAACAGTAATCTGAATTGCAGCAAAAATAATTCTGATGCACTGCTGCAATGTAGGAAAGATTCACAGCTCTACCTTCTGTTTTCATAGGGCTGCTGTTCTGTTACAGAATTATACTGGCACTTTTGGGTCCTTGTTTTCTTATAAATGTATTTTATACTGTAAACTTAGGAACCTTTTCATTTATTCATGAGGTAGAATTTAATATGGTGATGATTTCTAGCCTTTATGAGTTGCATCTTATCTAGTGTGGCTCTAATGGTGATGGCAGTGATTCTGGGGCTTTTTTTAAGCTCACTTGTTTGAGCACAACCATTCTAATAATATCTTCAATTATTCATTCTTTATTCAGCATTTGCATGCTGCTAATCATTAACGCTTATCCCTGAAAGTGTATTTATTTTCAAAATTATAAAGCAAGGCAGGGAAATTCCTTTCATTTCAAGTGACTGGAAGAAGTTGTAGAAGAAAACCAGGTTTTTTGGTGGCCCAAAGCTGATTGTGTTTTAAACCCAGACATGTGGCTCTAATTACAGCCAAAGCAGAGTTTGGCAGTGGTGGCAGGATGAGACTTAAACAAATTGATGTCACACTACAGTAAATCAAAAGAAACTCCTTGCATTTTGTATTGCAGCATGTAATCATAATAAGCAGCACGGTGATTGAATAAAATCCTCTTGCCACTAAAAATAAAAAGGAAATAATTGGTGAGAGAGAGTTAAGTTAACAGATGAGTGCAGTCAGCATCCTCTCAACCTGGAAATGGGAATGTGAAGGTCACCCCCATCTCTCCTGACAAACGCAGAACGTTGTGTTGGTAAACAAATTAATCTTTTGAAAGGTCACCATTTGTTTTAAGTTTTTCTCCAGTTCTTGTCATCTGGAATCGGAGATGGAGTGTCATTTCAGAAGGCAGGGGTGCAGGCAGAGCTGTTTGTGTGCAGCTCAGCATTCCCTGACAGAACTCCCTGCCTGATTGGGATGCCATGGGCTGCTGCTCGCAGCTGGCTCCGGACAGGAAGGGAGGCTCATCCCTGCTCCCACAAATCCTGCCTGCTGGAAGCTGGCCCTCTGCCCACCAGCAAAACATCTTGTGGTTCAAGGCAGCAATTATCTGCCTCACTCCCTTCTGTGCTGCTGCTGGTGCCTGTTTGACAGAGCAGATGTGGGATTCACCAAAGTTCTCCCTTTATTCTCTTTCCCACCTGTTAGGGAGGAATTCTGATGGATCTGGGTTTCTGGGAGAGCTAGAGAGCAGTAGGTCAGGAAAGGGGAAAACTTGATTTTTCCAAATATGTGGGAAACAGTTCAGAGCCATCTCTGGTTACTTTAAGAGCTTAGAGAAGGTGAGAATAACACAAGATCTGTTGTTAAAAATGCAATTCCAAAATTTTCCAGTTGAACTTGCCTTCTCTGAGCCCTTTCCTGACAGTCTCCTGAACATCCTGAGACGTGACCTTAGTTCCATTGATTTTATTTTGCTGTGCTTTCTCTTTCCCTTTACAGGGGGAAGTGCTGTGTCCATCAAATCCTGACAGGAACTTCTTAACAACAAATATGACAGCTTGGAGAAGATAGATGGAATGATAAATTAATCTGTTATATCCCTTTTTTTCCATCACTATCAAACTCTGATTTTCTAATATTTATTTACCAAATCTCATGTCTCAGTTCCTGGTTTGGTACACAATACTCTGTATTAAATCCTCTGTATTTAATACCATTTGTTTTACTAGAGGAAAAAATACAAAGATATTTACCAAAAAACAAAAAAAAAAAAACCCAACCAAAAAAAGCTGTTCTAGTTAAATATTGCTAGGTAAAAAAAGAAAACAAATAGAGAACTAATCAGAAAAATCCCTGTGGTGTTTCAACAAGTGCCCTATTTAAAATGAAGCAAAAAGAAAAAATAAAGTAGGAGAGGTTTATCCACAGGAGAAAAACACTTTAGAAAGGGTAATAGAATTGTTTTTCTTGTGTCCCAGGTTAATTACACTCAGAAGCACTTGAAATGAAAAAATAGTTTTTTAGCACACTCTAAGCATATTTTAAGGCAAGTCAGCCTTGTGCTGCCCTGCTATTTAAGAGCTCACTTCCAGCCCTGCAAAACTGAATTTTAAAAGTTCTCATGATGAAAGTGATGTTAGAAGCAAACCTTTATCTTGCTGTAGTTAATATTATGTTTGAGGTCCTATTATAGTTGTGTTGGGTTAATTTTAGTGACAGTAACACCCCAAATGGCAGCAGTTTGGCAGTTTTGTTTGGGTGTGTCCCTGAATTCTTCAGGAGGGAGCCAATGCAGCAGTCAGAGTGCTGGAAGAACGTGGGAATGGGGAGGGATTGGGTGGAATTTTCCTGGGGAGCTGGTTTGGATCAGCTCCCTGGTCCCACTGTGTTTCTGTCCTACTGACTGATGGCACTGGGCAGTGCAAATGAGAGATTAAATTACATTTCTGTTGCATCAGTCCTTGTTTTAACATCACACCTGCTGTGGATTTTATAGAAATTAAAGGATACATCAAAAATAATTCATTATCTATCTCCAATTAAAAAAAAATGTTAAAAACCAAGCCTCCAGGCTGCTTTTGAACTCACACACTGCACCTGAACTGCTTTTCCTTGTAGCTTATTACATCTCTATGAACACAATGAAAATAAATATATTACATGTGCTGTTTATCATAACAAAACCTCATAAGTGGGATTTAAATTAGGATAAAACTGACCAGGAGTAAAATCAGTGCTGCCTTACTGCTACACCAGCAGCACTCTGGAAGAGGAATCACTGTTTAATTCAATTTCTTGCCTTTTATATATTTTTGTTGTGGCCTCACCAGACTGTTGGGGCTGAGGGTGAGCGGGAAAATGTGGTTTATAATTTCCTTTTCTCAGTATCAAGTCACTTACGTGGCAGCAGGCATAAAGTTAACCTTTGTTCCATGGTTATTGCTGTTTTCTTGGAACACCAGGACATGAGGATTCATCCACCTCCATCCCTTAAAACAGAATGCTCCCCAATGGCCAGAACTAAAATGAGGGGTTGGGATTGCTCTGAAAGGTTCTCTAGGATGATAAAAAGTACAGATTTTCTCTCCCTTATCTCCTGTGGGCAGTGTTGTTAGACAAAATTGGGAGCAGAGATTAGAATAGTTAATTTTGATCTGTCTCATTTCCCTCCTGAGAGTTCCTTTGCCCTTTCTGGAAAGTTGCTGGGTGCTGTTATTCAATAATTAGGACACAACAGAGCTCCAAGATCCCAGTCATGTCTTGGATTGCACTAAAAGCTTGATAATCACTCATTAAAAGCTAATATTTTCAAGTATTTATTTTTCCTTCTGGTTCCTTGCCTGTGTATGCATTTTATATTTTTAGCACTGTTCTGTCAAGAAACACTGCTCAGTTTTAAGGAGAGTAGTGTAAATACAAACTTCCTGAGATTCTTTCATTAAATAGTACACAAGACATCAATTAAATTTAATTAACTTGATTTTCAATGACTGAAGTAACAACAGTAGACAATACTGTAGCATGTTCACAAGTAATAAAAGGAGTGGTGCACTGTTAAATCTTAATGAAACAGTCGTGGCAGAAATTATATTTATTATTTATTGCTGCAGGAGTAGAGAATCAATCTGTAAATCCCAGATTTCCCTGTTCTGTCTCTTCCCAGGTGTGCAGTCAGAAGACAGGGAAGGGTCCCACAGCCACCAACCCTTGGGCTTTGCCTGCCTTTCACTCCCTGGGCTCTCCCTTACCCCTGGCAGAAGAGGACACCCCAAAAGGTGAGTCCCAGAGGCCCCCAGGTGCTGCTGTTTGCAGCAGATATTTGGGAATTGGATTTCCTGCCACCTCCAGGCTTCCAAGAATTGTGATTTCAAACCTTGCAAAGGGTAGGGATGAAGTTCAGGCTGCTGAGCATCACCCCGAGCCAGCTTTTGGAACTCCCAGGGTTCAGCTGCTGCTGCAAAGAGGAACTGTGTGTGTGGTGGAGGTTCTGCTAAAAATACCACTCAAACTATCCTGATTAACAGCTGGTTATTAATTGTTCAGCCTTAACTAGGCTTGGACTGTTTTAGCAATTAGTTTATAGTGGCAATTACATGATTATATTGTGCTTTGCAAGAGTTGATCTCATCTATTCTGCATATTAAATTGCATTGTACAAGCATATAATTATAGATATACAGGCATATTTCAGAGTTAGCACTGGTGCAATATCCTATTTGTCAATTTTTATAGGCACAGCTCACCTTCCTTCAAGGTAAAATATTGACTATAGAAATATAGGAATCTTTCAATTAAAGGAAACTGTTGCTTTTGTAGTGTTGATGCAGAACTTGGGGCTGCCTTTGCTTAATTCTTTCTTCATTGCCAAGAATTCCTTTTCATTCCTGGCTGGAATTGCTCAGGAATGTAATTTCTTGTAGGTGGCCAAAGGTTCATCCTTCCTGCAGCACAGAGAGCTCTGCCAGCCCCTCCTGCTGTGCCCAGAGCAGCACCTTTCCCTGAATTCCCCAGGCAGCACAAGAAATCAGCTGTAGGTGAGTACAGGGCATTGATAACATCCTCCAGCTGCACCCCCAGCTTCACTCTCAGGTTTTATTTCCCAAAGAAAGAGCTCTGTGATGAGCACTCACCAAATTCTCCAGGGCATAAAGCTCAGGAAAATCTTGTGTTGCGACTGGGGAGTAACCAGATTTCTTCATCCCTGGGGAGGGTTTGGTTCCTGTTCATTTCTGGGCTCCTCCTGGGTTCCTACCTGCACATTTCAAATTTTAAGCACTCAAATCTGGAGCTCTGCCCAGTGGTGCTGGAAATCATGACTTTGACCAGCTGATCAGGCCTCTGTTTGCCACATGATTAAATTAACAACTGATAATAAGTAGATGAAAACTTCAATCCACGTTTTATTTGTACAGGAGAGATCAGTAGCAGGATGGACCCTGAGAACACAGACACCACCACCTTCCCAAAGCCAAAGGAAGCCATTTATGGCACATATTCCTCTAGTAAAGGGAGCATTGCACCACTCCCAGCCAGTAATTCTGTGGTTTCAACAAGGAAATCAAAGGCAGAGTGGAGGTATCCAGCTCAGCAGTTGGAGTCTGAGGTGCACATTCCCCCTCAGACACAGGTATTTGATTGAATTAATCACTCAGTGAGGATAATGAGGTTTTTATTTGTGTTTTTAATACTGTCTTCACCAGAGCTGGTTTAGGAAGGGACTGTAAAACACAGGAGGGTTTGAACCACATCCAGTAAATAGTAAATACTGAAATAAAATAACAAATACTTTGTGTATTCCCAATTTCAAGTATTTTACCTAAATTTGTCTGGGTTTTTTTTTCTTTTTACAGAATCTTAGAAAATTAGTTTAGAAAGGATGTTAGGAGGTTATCCAGACCTCCAGGCAGAATTACTTGTACCTGTAATATTGCAGACAGCTGTTTTTCTAACCTGTTCTGAAAACTTTGGGTGATAGCAACCCCACAGCCTCCCTGGGCCATCTGTTCCAGTGCTTAACTAACTATCTTTACTGTTATAAAGGAGTTTTTGAATGTTTCATCTCCATTTCCCTCACTGCAGTTAAGCAAATGTGGTGTTTCCCTTTATATTTACAGAAGACTCTGGGGGACTTTGACCTTGACTGCTCAGTGCCTGCTCTTTGTTCTTGATCCCCATGAAAAAAGGACATTTCTTTCTTTTATAGATAATTACTGTGTTCTGTGACAAACTCTCTGGAGTTTTGCTTCATCTTTCCAGACTTTTTGAGTTTTGTGCCATTGAGGAGGTGTGAAAATGAGAGAGAAAGTAAGCTTGAGAAACAAATCAAGGAATCTTGGAGTGGTTTGGGGTGGAAGGAACCTTAAAGCTCAGAGACACCTTCCACCATCCCAGGCTGCTCCAAGCCCTGTCCAGCCTGGCCTTGGACATTCCAGAGATCCAGGGGCAGCCACAGCTGCTCTGGGCACCTGTGCCAGGACCTGCCACCCTCACAGGGAACAATTCCTAATTCCCAATATCCCATCCAGCCCTGCCCTCTGGCAGTGGGAGCCTTTCCCTGTGTCCTTTCACCCCACAGCCTTGTAACACCCTCTCTCCATCTGTCTTACTATCAATGAGATGTGGAAATAAATAAAAATAATTACCTAAAACTAGTATGAGTATAGTGCCCTTAGATTGAAAATCAGAGCTAATGAGTTGCTGGCTGAAGCTGCCAGGAATTAGGGAGTGCTGGAATGTTTCTATTCCAAGCTTTACTCCATTTGCATTTTTATAGTAGGATGTTCCCCATTCTCCTGGGAAAGGTGGAGGCAGTCTCAGTGGAGAAATGCCACTGCAGTTACTTTCTGCTTTTAGTGAATCAGTGTAAAGTTTAATTTTTATATTTGGTAAATCAAGAATACTTCGGTGCAATTGATGTATTTCTTTAAAATTGCTCACAGTTTTGCATGACCCTGGAGGTTTTTGTGTGGCAGTGGTTTTGATGGTAGAGCTGGGCAGGATTTGTGGCTCTGATGGACAGAACCAGGATCAGTGTATTTCACATATACAAATCCCCACAGTTAAGCCATAAAAATTAACAAAAAAGTGCATTTTGACCCCTCATTTACAGCACCATCTGTGACTCTTCTCTTCCCACAGCCCCCACAAACAGCTCAGCCCTGCCAGGATCCCTGCTTGGACTGCGACAATGCTGTTCCCCAGAAAGCTCCAGGTGTTCTGGCACTCCAACACCCCCATCATTCCCCTTGGGGCACCATTGAGGGCTTTTTGGAACCCACGGAAAACCTCCTCAAAGACCACTCTGCCCCCTTGGCCACCACCAACAGCCAAAAGCTGGCACCAACGGCCAAAGAGCACCCCACCAAAAGCGGCATTTTGTCAGTGATGAAGAATCACTCGGCTGTGGCAAAGATCCCGAACGGAGCGGGCTGGGAGGGCAGCGCAGGAGCTGCTGCAGGGATCCAGAGCACGGTGC